TAAATCCTCTTACTCTTCACTCTTTCTGGGAGAGTGGTGTCCTTAGCAGTAACAGAAGAGAAATCATAATTGAAAAACATATGAGCCCAAAAATTCTGAGCAGGAAGAATTAAAAGGATTTCTTAATTTGATAATTTTTATACTAAATTTCAAAACATCAAGAATAAATTCTGAAATTTATTCTGAATTCTGAAAGTTTTCAAAGAAGAAGGAAACAAACCAAATTAACTCTAAGAGAACAAAAATCGTTGCCTTTATGGTAGGTCTCTCACCAGCCACGGTAGATGCTCGTTATGCAACTTCTTCAAATTTATAAAGAAGAAAATGTTTCAAATTCAAATTTTTTACACAGTCTATCATTCAGATGTTAGAGAAAAATTTTCAGATGTAAGAATTTAAAGTAATTACCACTCACAAACTCTCTCGAAAAGAATTAGTAGAAAATAAATTCAAACAAAAAGAATACCAAAAAAAGTGGGACACAAGAACAAATAAAGAGCAAAGGGACAAAAAATATTAAATGTAAATAAGTGTTTTTTAATGAAACTGAATTGACCTTGGGTGAAAATATTAATCTCTCTGAGCATTGATTTCCATACTTATAAAATGAGGATAATTAATCCTGTCTTACAGATATTATTATGAAGAATAAATGGGACAGATACTCTGAGAAGAATGTTTGGTTTGCTGCCTGATAAGTATTAAGTGCTTAGTGAAGGGTAACTATGCACATATACACACACCTGTGCGTACTTGGGTATGTATGTAGACAGAGAGATGATTGAATGGATGGATAGATAGACAGATAGATACAAATAAATAGGTTGATACAATAATAGATACAAAGAAATTGAGGATCATAAAGCTTTATTGATATGTGCACATTCATACAGTTAGTAATAAGCTCAAATCCTACACACTCTGCCATACCACCTTCACATGCTTGATTCTTTTCTATTTAGTGATTTTTACACTCATTTTGAGCATTTAGAAGGGATGCTTTTCAAACTAGTATGTAAGGCCAAGCCAAGAATAGTTAATATGTGCTTGGATAGACTCAGAATTCAGCAAAAATGTATATTGAAAGTCTGAAATATGAATTGAATTAACAGCTGAAGGTTCTATTTTCCCTCATTCTTCTTGCAAGCACATGATATTCCTGTAGTTTGGTGTTCTCATAACCTTCCAGTAAACTCTTCAGAATCCTTTTTATCTTGTCCATTTCCATAATGCAAGGATAGAGATTTTCTTCCTGTTTATACTCTCCAAACTTTTGGATCTGTCACCCACTCAAACCTGACTGATTTACTTGGCTAAAGGAGTTGTATTTTATTCTTTTTTATAACTCTAATGTCAAGCTATCTAAAATTCAGGATAATTTTTAAAATTCTGTCAATGTTTGCTTCATATATTTTGGATCTCTGATGTTTGGTGCATATATGTTTATAATTTTTAGAAAGATTGAATTTTAAAAAGTACCCTTTCAGGCTGGCCAGGCACCTTGTTACATTAATTCCTAAACTTACTGTCCCCACAAACCCTAAGGCTTGCCGCGATCACAACTTAATAAGATTGCCTTTTCCTAAAACTGCTTCTTTCATAGGCTTTAAGTTTGAATTCTTGTCCAGAGAAGATTTTCTCTGAGGTAGAAGCAGAAAGGGGTTGCCAACATTGGTCTGCTGTGCTTATAATTCTCAATCTTGCACTGCAAGGCCATGATGTTTTCTTAAATTAAAAAGTCAGCCTTCAGTCACGTCACTATATGACAGGGTCACTGATACCCAGAGAACATGTCAAATAGCTGGGCACCTGAGAAAGCTAACCACTCTAAATACAATAATTCACAGAATATTCCCAGAAGCAGAATCTTTAAAAGCAATTCTGAGAATTTAATTAAAATATAATGAAAAGACTCAAAAAGATTAGGGAGGATATCGATAAAATGAAACAGAAACAAGATGCTTAGTAAAAATCAAGTGGAAATATTATATATAGAAATATATTTGAAATAAAGGACATTTTGCAGAGTTAATTAGTAAAACGGATGCTTATTAAGAATGAATTAGTCCAAACCACATTAGAAAATGAAAAAAGATGGAAGATGAAAAAGAAAGGCTGAGAGAGATGAAAAATAGAAGTACAAATGCTAACTTCTAGATAATAAGAATCTGAAAGAGAGAGAAAGAGAGAACATAGAGGATAAAATAAGGAAAGCAAACATCAAATTAAAATTGATATTAGAAATGGAAATATGAGAAGACAAGCACATCTAGGTACAATAGAGTGAAATAAAAATCTACAAAATGAAAAAATATAGGTAATGGGATAAGTTAATAAAAAACAGAAGAAATGAGAAGAATAACAAAATCAAATGATGTTTACCAGAAAAGACTAAATAACTAGATGTATAAAAGTCCTCAAAAGAGAAGATATAAAGAAAATATCAATAAAGTACAAATAATTACATAAAATATTAATATTTAATGAAATATAATAATTTATCAATTGTTATGGATTCAATTGTGTCCCCCCAAATCCATATGTTGAAGTCCTAAACCTCCATTACCTCAGAATGTGACCTTATTTGGAGAAAAGGTCTTTACCAAGTTAAAATGAGGTCATTGGGGTGGGCCCCAATCCAATATGACTGACGTCCTTATCAAAAGGGGAAATTTGGAGACAGATTTACACGCAGGGAGACTGCCATGTCAACATGATGACGACCACCTACAAGCCAAAGAGAGAGGCCTGGAACAGATCCTTTTCCTACAGCCTTCGCAAAGAACCAACCCTACCAACACCTTAATTTCAGACTTCTAGCCTCCAGAACTGAGACACAATAAATATCTGTTGTCTAAGCCACCCAGTTTCTGACAGCTTATTAGTGGCAGTCCTAGCAAACTAGAACATCGATTGATTTATAAACTTGAAGAAAATAAATGGATTTTTGGAAAATAAGAAATGTCAAAATATAATGAGAAAAAAGAAATAATTGAAATAAATATTATAGAAACATAGTAATTAAAATAGAAGAAATCTCTCAATGTTTCAAAGAACAGCTAATTCTTGAATTGTACATCTTGTTTCAGAAAACGGCAACAAAAGAGAAACCCGCCCAGTTCTTCTTAACTGGATTGTAAGTTTGATTTCTTTCTCTAGTACCTGTAAGTTTGATTTCAAAATAAGCTACAAACAAGACAAAAAGAAATAGACAAATTCGCTCATGAAATTAGAAGTAGAAATTCCAAATAAGATATTAGGTAACTAAATAGAACAATGTAGTTAATAATCTATATTCAAGTGGGTTTATCTTTGGAATGCTTTGGTCTCAGAAAATCAATCAGTGTAGGTTACCTTGTTAGATTTAAAAAGTAAAACCACATGATTATTTGATAAACTCCTACAAAGCATTTGATGACATTCAATGTCTATCTGACACAAACCCTATTAGGAAACTAGGAATAGGAAAATACTCTCTTAAATTGCTAATGTTATATATTGAATTTATACAGCATTTTTATGATAATAATGAAATTTTATACATATTCCTTTTAAGAACAAGAACAAGCAAAAGATGTTCACTCATTGGTACAGTATAGCACTAGCAGTTGTAACCAGTGATATAAAAAAATCAAAGGAAATAAAAGTTGATTCTGCTGGTATTTCTTCTTATACAACCAAATTGTCTGAAAATATTGCAAATGTATCTCTTCCATTACAATCCTTTTCCCTTTTATTGTGATCATAAAACTTAAGGAAACCAGAATGTTATCCAAAAATATGCCTTTTGACGTAAAAATTATTTTGAGCTGAAGGCAATTAGGAAGCAGCAAATGCAGGAATAACTCACTCTGTCCTCCTCCTTTTCTGCCTAAAGACAGGATATAAATCCTCCTTTTACTGGAGACAGACTGATCAGCCCAGAGACAGCAAACCTTACTCCATTTGTTTACTCCCACACACTTATCTTCCCACCATTTGCTGCCCTCAGAAGCCTAAAATTGCTTTTTTTCTGTCCTCTCATTTCTCTACAAATTTGTTGTTCTTTGTTGAAGATGCCATATAAGCTGGAGTTCTAAAGCACCTCTTTGAATTCCTCTCTGTTTGAGTTTCTCCCAGGTGTTGTGCGCTGCACCAGTTAGTAAACTGTTTTTCTCTTGTTAATCCATCTTTTTGTTATAGAACCCCAGCTGAAAACTAAGATGGGTGCAGATTAGGTTTTACCTGTCCTACAAAACCTAATAACTTTTCTTAGTTTTCATTCAGTAGGTTTGCTCTATAACTCAGAGTCAAAAAGTGTATGACATCTTTTTGATATTTTTTCTTTCTTTCTTCAAATCCTTTTTTTATATTTAAACGTGTGTGTGTGTGTACATATACAGTCTTTGCAGATTGTTTCTACATTGGCTAATAATGTGCCAGACAAGATTATTTTAATCATTAATAGAATAATTACTGTTTGTTCCTGCTCTCCTAACATTTCCATGAGTGCCAAATCCCTTTTCTTCTCTAATTCATTCTGTTCTCCACAAATTACTGCTTTTAGTTTGACATTTTCTTGCTCAAACACATTAAGCTTCTTCTTCTTATTGCCTACAGAATAAAGGAAACAACGTATCTCACATTTTATTTTTTCTGTAAAATGACTTTATGAGTTTCCCTTCTCCCCTATCTTTGATTATGTTGATTTATGTATCTGTCATAGCCATTTGTCTGATCATAGCTCTTTGATGACCCTTATACTTTCTTGATTACAAGCCCTCATTCACACTATTTCTACCTTTTGAAATAACCTTGCTTCCCCTCCCTCCTTTCACCAAGACCAACACCATTGTATCTTCTATTACTTTAAGATACAGATGCTGTCAATGAGAGTTTCTTGGTTGATTATTATGGGAGAGAAATAAATGCATAATAAATATCCAGTCAGAGTTTCTCGGGAAATTTCACAATAAATATTTGTTTATTTTGCAGTTGATAAGTTGAAAAATAACTGGAAGATGTACCTTTGTGTGTGCATCCTGAATACTGCAATCATTCTTACAAAAGGTGAGTGGCTTAACCCATAAACTTTCTATGGTTCCTCATGCTCAGCTGGCCCAAATATTGATACCTCAAGCTTAATCCTGAATCTTTTAGCTCTGGAGTAATAAAAAGGTTTGTAGAGACTTGTCCTCAGGTTCCTACCAGTTCGGTAGGTTTTATATATTCTTTGCCTCTCTCAAAAAATATTCTGTCTCAGAATACAGTCATCTTCTTGACTTTATAGGAGCTCTTGATCTTTGAGTAAGATAGCCATAAATTCTCAGATGACTACCGGATAGCAACAGAGATAGTTTTTTTTTTTTTAATTGAGAGTCCTTTGAGTTAAAAAGCTAATATTAAATACACTATTTTTGTTATTTATGTTTAATTTTCACAGAACTATGAAACAGGTATAATCATGAAATCCATTTACAGTCAGAGAAATAGAGGCCAGAGTGAATAATAAACGCTAGAGCCAGAATTGAGACTGTTGTTTGTCTAATTCCTGATATTTTAACCATCATGCAACACTGCTTCTGTAATTGCAGTATTTCTTTACTTTAGTTTCTTTGGGATCAAGAGTAAGTTATATTGCTGATAGTTGTTCTACAAAATATTTATTTCTATCATATTGTGTTAACAGAATAAAAAGAATGACACACTGATGCCTTGCAAGATTTTCTCCATTGGAGTAGATTTTTAAAAATGAAGATGTTTTAATTTTCTTCTGGGTATTATGGGTTGATTTTATGAAAAGAACCCAAAAGTAAACTTTGATTCTTGAACCATGGTCTAATAGTCCTCAGAAGCTGATTTTCCATACTCATGTTTTGCTTACTTTAGCATTTGGGTTAAAGCAGCACCTAACACTCGTGATTCTTGTTTTCTTTGTCATTTGCAAGAATACTGATGCTCTTCTTGCTTATACACTCCTCTGTCACTACAGAGTCCTGGGAGTGCAACGTTATCGCTATTTAAATATCTGTAAGTTAAATATTTATAGAGAAGTGTTTCTGTAAGAAGTCTTTACATTAATTATTTTTTTAAAAATTTGAAACAATATATTTCATCACTTATCTGTAGTAGCCTGGATTCACTTCTCAGTATCACCAAAAAAAACCAAAAAAACAAAAAAAAAGCAGAATGAAGACAGAAGACTTTGGAGTTGGCTATATATTTGTACATTTACTTGGCTCTTTACTAGTTACATTAAGTTATTCAAATATTTGGAGGACGGAGACTTTATCTTATTCTGATTACTCAGCACCTAACTAAAACTCTGAAACAGTAAATTCTCAAAACAATGTACGTAGAAATAAATTCTTCATTAGTCCAGCTTATTTGGCACTGAATATTGGTGAAATGGAACAAATGTTTCCCTAACTCTTATATCTCAATGATTTGTTGTCATTTACGGTGAGTTTCACTTCCCTAAATTGGATGTCCATAACTTTTCCATTTCTTCGAGGTAAAGGTAAGTCTTCATTTCTTACCTTAGGCCTTGAGGCCTAAATTATATTCATTTCTCTAGTTCCCTTCTTTGATTGCTAAATTTTATGCAATGTTCTTGGTAGGATGTCAATATGGATCACAAGAGGCACGTGGTTCCATTTCTCAAAACAGAAGCTAGGAAAATAGGATAAAATATAGACAGCTCAGCCAATAAATGGTCTTCCTTACAGACAATTGAATTCGTCCATCATCTCATGAGTGAAGCTAATTTTACAGGCCTCAAACTGTGAGGATAAAACAGTAAAATTGATTCACCAGAATGAGTAGAAACACTTTTTAAGTTATTTTTTTATCTGATCGTGTTTTCCTTTTTTTTCAGTATTATCTACAAGACTGTCAAAATGTCCCAAAACTGTGGCATGTTCAGGGCAGTGGATTGGAGTAAGAGAGAAGTGTTTCTATTTCTCTGAAGCCACTTGAAATTGGATGGCTAGTAAAAGATTCTGCACTTCACAGGGATCATAGCTTGCTCAGATTGATACACAAGAGGACATGGTAAGAAAAGGAGAAAGTTTTCAATCATTTCAGAGCTTAAGTTTCTACAAAGAGAGAATAAAGATGGCCAGAGCTAGTACTCTATGATGAAGTGTCAGACAGTGTTCTAAGTACTGTAACTGTAAAAACTCATGTAATCTTCAACTAGTGTCTATGAAGTAGATATTTAAATATCCCTATTTAAATGAGGAAAGTGAGACGCAGAGATGTATGTAACCCAGCCATTGTCACACAGTCATAAATTGTTGACCTGTGATTTGAACCTAGACAAGTTAGCTACTGATGCTATGTCCTTAATCACAATGCACATTATCTACAAAGCTAAATGTATTTGTTCAATGTTCTTAGATTATTAAATAGATTGCTTTTAATACCTTTGAATTTGCATTCTGCCAAGAATAGCCAGGTAAAATTGAAACAACAAAAAGATATAACTCTTGAAATTTAGAGATGAGAATGTGAAGGAAATATGTGCAGTTTGAAGAAAGTGAGACAACCAATGGAAGAAGTAAAACAGAGCAAAGAAAAGGGGACTTGGACTCCAGGGACACAGGGTAAAGGAAGAGGTTTGTTTGCAAAGAAAAGCTGACTAATAGGGTTTTGATCTAATAACAAGGAGCCAATTGAGGTGAGACTAAACCCATCACTCAATATCTTTTATTACAACAAATGAGATTCATTCAGAAGTTAGTTTGACTTCTGATTATATGTGAAAACACACAGCAACAATGACATTCTTATGCTGGTATCAACTCAAAATAGTTTATGACTAGGAGAGTCTTGGAAATGGACAAATTGTTCCACATACAATGCTCGGTGAGTTCCAAATTTAGTAGGAAAAGTTTTATTCTCATGTTGTATAAACAAGTTTAAAACAGTTTGAGATGTATTATTATAAAGAAGTCATCCAATTTTGTATGTATAATTCCCTTTCTCAGTGTCCACCCTGTGACATGTGCCCTTTCACATTGAAACATACCCTAAAGTGGCCCATCTTCCTTCTACCTTGTTAAGTAACACACAGTGAAATTTTCCATTCTTATTTTTATTTTTCTTTCTTATGTTATTTTTGTCAAGCTCTTGCCAATAAACCTCCTTTTGTTAATTCAAAGTCAATTATTCTGCAAATTCTAAGCCAAAGCACACATATTCTTTGCATCTTTTTCCAGTTACTTAAATTTATACAAGATCTCTTTCTTCTTTATAAAGTTACAGACCATACAGTTGTCTTTAATTTTCCAAATGTCCACCATAGCAATATTATTTATTTATACAACCATTTCTTGAGTGAATGCTGTTTCCTCACTTACATACTATTTTACCTGAAAAGAAAGGCTGTAGGATGACAGAAAAAAACATACTTATTGCAAAAAAAAGCAAAACTTTGGTCATCAACAAAGTAAATTAATAAAAATGATATTATAATTAGTCTCTGGTTTCAATCTCAGCATGTTGCAAAAGTATCAGATGAATATAGATCTATAGATCTTATTCTTTACTTTCAAAAAAGAACAGTGGCTAAAAATATGCCAGGAAACTGCTTTTTAAAAAAAATTCCAGAGTTCTTGGATTTAGCAAACTTCTCTCTCTCAACTAGAAATAGATATAGATTTAGATAGATAAATGTAGATAGATATAGACTTATATCTGTATCCTTGACTTATCTATGTCTATTTATATCCATATCTGTCTTTCTACCTACGTTCTAAAAAATGTTACAGATTATACTAGTAAATATAATAATAATTAAATACCTATATTCAATCTTATATTCCTTTAATGTACCAGATATTTTTATCATGGGTGAGTATGAAGATCAGTGCTTTGTGTAAAATGTTTCAAATTACTTTACTGTTAATTTTACTTTTGATTACAGCTATAAGTGGCTTCAGAACTGATTTTGGTTTTTCCTTTTCAGGTTTGAAATCAGTGGGAATGGATTTTTTGCTTTTCTGAATACTGATGGAGTCCATAGTTCCAGGGGATTTCTTGATATCAAGTGGATTTGCAGCAAACCTAATTTTAATAGGGCAAAAAACTAGAAAAGGACTATGATATTTTGAAGATAAAGGACTAAACAAAAGAACTAAAGATTGTTAAATGAATGAATTGTAGGTAGAACTTCATCAATTCAAGACACAGATTTGCTCTTTATGAGCACAAGTCAGGAAATGCCTGTTTAATAGGACCAAACAAAGTAACAATAAATAACTAGATGACCGGTGACTGCAATGATGATGATGACAAACAAATTTAAAGGAATCTATACTGATAGGCCAGCCAAGACTTACAGCTTGAAAGTTTAGGAAATATATGTGCTCTACATGTATAAATATTACAAAACACTGACCATAGTGACTTTGGCTTAAAGAAATGTTACATGAGAATCATCTATGAACAGGCATTTACTTCAACAATATTCTAAAAGCAAGGGAAAACACACCAGGAAGGAGTCTAATTCCATAAATAATCATCACTGATAAATGATTAGAATTATGCATTAAAATAACAAAGCTTAGATTGTAGAATATAAACTAGAATAGTAACATCAAAAGTGACCAAACAATACATTATTGAAAAAATTTCAATTCTCCAAGTAACGACAAGGAAATAGAACGGGCTTATGACACATCCCTGGGTGCATCTTAACATTCAAATTCTGCAGAACATTAAAAAAATTATATAAAAATTGCCTTTGTTACATTAACTTGAGTTTAATTTCCTGCCTATGTACTATAAGATATGAGTGCAAGAAGGGATGTGAGCGTAGGCAAATAGATAGGCACGGTAGAGTAGAGAAGCTGGAGAAAAAGATAATATCTAGGTTACAGGGCAAACACATAGAAACACACAAACTAGTCCTCTCCCATATCTTTAATAAAGGCTTACTTTCTTAGTTACAGATGAAGTTTTCTGATAAACAAATTCTTGTGAGCCTCATTCATAAACGTTTTACCTGACAATATATGTGAATGCAAATGACTTGGCAAATGTCAACATGTAATCAAGTATAGGTTTATTACATCTGTGCACCATGTTGTCAACAAGAAAACTTGAAAGTAATGAATTTCAGATGACATTGTGTATTACAGTTTGATGTATTATGTTTTGGCTCAGTTTAAGTTAAATTTTTACTTGATTCATATTAGAGATTTTATTTAATCATTGGTTCATAGTTATAAGTTAATTTTGTTAATTGCTTAGCAATTTTTTTTGATTCAGAGTAACTAGGGTGTAAATTTCTGATGGCTTAGAATGAACTGCAGGCAACTTCTTGAAGGAGTTAAATAACTACCTCATTTATATACTGTACACAAACTGTTGCCTTTATTTTGAAATATGAATGTGTTTTGAATAAATGAGAGGAAAACAAGGAACTTTGCATAGAATCTCAGTTAGAAAGTTAAAGGAGAATTCTTGGTTGGGAATTTTGAATCAAGAATTCTCTACTCAGGGGTCCAGCCCCATGGCCAAGTGGTTAAAGTTCTGTGCGTTCCGCTTGGGTTCACAGATTCTCATCCTGGGTGTGGACCTTCTCCACACATCAGCCATGCTGTGGAGGTATCCACATATAAAGTAGAGGAAGATTGGCACAGATTTTGGCTCAGGGCTAATTTTCCTCAAGCAGAACAAAAAAAAAGAGGAGGATTGGCAATGGATTTAGCTCAGGGCAAGTCTTTCTCACAAAAAAAAAAAAAGGAGAAGAAAAAAATTTTTACAAAAAGAATTCTCTACTCAGCAAGGTCATCATTCAGAATTGAAGGAAAGACTAAAAATTTCCCAGATAAGCAAAAGCTGAAGGAGTTCATCAATACTAAACCAGCCTTATAAGGAATGTTAAAGGGACTGCTCTAAGCTGAAAAGAAGACACTAGTTAATAATGCGAAAACATGCAAAAGTAATAATCTCACTGGGAAAGGTAAATTATAGTAAAAGTAGTGGATCAATCACTTATAAAGAAAGTATGAAGGCCAAAAGTCAAAAGTAGTAAAAATTAACTAAAATTACAATAATTAGTTAAGGGATGCAAAAAAATGATGTAAAATATGTCATCAAAAATATAAAACATGTGAAAGAGTAAATATGTTAAGCTTTGGAATGTGTTCAAATTTAAGTTCCTATAAACCTAAAAGAGACTGCTATACACAAAGGATATTATATGTGAAACTCATGGTAACCAAAAAGAAAAAACTTGCAGTAAATACACAAAAGAAAATGAGACAGGAATCTAAACACAACACCAAAGAAAGCCATCAAACCACAAGAGAAGAGAGAAAGAGAAGAAGAAAGGAAGAGAACAACTACAAAAATAGCCAGAAAATAACTAACAAAATGGCAATAAGTACATACCTATCAATAATTACTTTAAATGTAAGTGAACTAAATTTGCCAATCAAAAGACACAGAGTGCCTTTCCTTTCCTGTTGGCAGCATGTGCCAGCAAGATGGGAGGGCAAATTTCCAAGAAGAGGAAGTTTATCACTGATGTCATTTTCAAAGCTGAACTGAACCAGTTTTCACTTGGGAGCTGGCTGAAGATGTCTTCTCTTGAGTACAAGTCCAAGTTACACCAACCAGGACAGAAATCATTATCTTTGCCACCAGAATGCAGAATGTTCTTGGTGAGATGGGCCAGCAGATCGTGGAATTGACTGCTGAGCATGCTCTCCATGATGAACATGGAGATTTATTACACAATTCTATTTTTTTATTATCTACAGTAAAATAAAACTTTATAAAGTAGATGTTATCACCCCCAATTTAAAGATGAGAAATTAAGTCACAAAGAGATTATATCACTTTCACAAAGCCATACAATAGGTAAATATCAGAGCTGAAATTCCAGCCCAGGTAGTTTGGCTCTAGAGCCCATGTTCTTAACCACTGCCTCATATCGCCTCCATAAGATATTAATTGGTGTGTTAGTCAGAGTTCTCCAGAAAAAGAAAACTAATGGAATTTGTGTGTGTATACATATATATACGTATGTTTTATAAGAGAGAAACAGAGATTTACTTTAAGGAATTAACTCATGTGATTATTTGGGATGGCAAGTCCAACATGTATAGAGCAGGCTGGCATGTTGGAGATCCAGGGAAGGGCTGATATTGCAGCTCAGGTCTAAGGCAGTCTGGAGGCAAATTCCCTCTTCCTTTGGGAAATCTTTCTCTTAAGGCCTTCAACTGATTGGATGAGGCCCACCACAGTATGGAAGGTAATCTATTTTACTCAAAATTTACTGATTTTAATGCTAATCTCATCTAAAAAGTACTTGCATGGAAATATCTAGATTTTTGACCAAACCCAGATATTTGACCACATATCTGGGTACCATGCATGGCCTAGCCCAGCTTATACATAAAATTAAACATCACAGTTGGTTTAACCTACACTAAATATTCTGGGATGTAGTTATTTTATCCTCATTTGAAAGTTTAAAAAACTGATGTTTAATTTTCCTAAATTCATATGACAGTTGACTGAAATCTCTTCATTCAAACACAGAGCAGCACATTACAGACAAAAAAAGAACATTACCTGCTAGACTGCTGATATTTACTTTCTGGGGGAAATCCGTTTTTTTATCTATACTCAAGGCAAAGAAAAGATACAATGAGAAACATTTAAAAACGAATAATAGTCTAAGCATATGAGAATAAAAATACTAGCACAGAATAGAGGCGTGCAAATAAAAGTTCAGTCTCTCTCTTCTTCTATGTTTCTACTTCTTTTCTTCCTCAGAATTAGCCACATTTTACCATACGTATTTTTATTCCTTTAAGTGTTAATCACAATTCTAAATATTGTGTGCATTCTTAAACTTCATACCCATTACTTTTTTATATATTATTTTCTTTTTTCCACCGAACTTTTTAAATGATGTTATTTCTTTTTGTTCCAGACCAAAAGAAAAGAATTTCTTTTTACCATATAAAGTCCCTTCAGCTTATCAGTTGCTTTATTTATAGATCATTTTTATATAGACTGAATTAATTGCTTTCCAGGAACACAGAGCAGTTGATAACCTGAAATGTTTTTTCATTACATTCTTGGGATAGATTTACTCTATCTAACATCAACGTGCCTTCCCTTTTCTCTTCCAAAAGAACACGTGGAAAAATTATACAGCTTGACTACCCTTTTTTAAGCTAAAATTAAAATCCAGTTGGCTCATAACTTTGAAGACATTGCTACAGTGGTGTCTTTTTACGGGCATTTAAAAATCTGATACCAATTTGTTTCTCTTTGCTTTGGCAGAAAACTAATTCTTTATGTAAACTTTCAGAATCATGTCTTTACCTATGGTGTCCTGAAATATGATAAGGGTTTATATCTATGTATCTATCTATCTAACTATCATCTATCTATCATCCATCCATCTATCTATACCTATTTTTGTATCCTATTTGGAATTTGATTGGCTCTTATAAGTTGAAAACTCATGTTTTTTGGTTTTGTTTTTTTCTTCTGAAAATATTTATATATATATTTTTTATTATCTTACATCTCACTTTTTCTCTTATTCTCTTCTTCTGAGAAGTTGTTAAAGAGATACTGTCCTTCTGGATAGACAGTATTTTGTGTTTTTGTCTCAGATATTTTCATATTTATTGGCATTTGTTGATTTTTTTCTGACACTTTTCTCTATGCTCTGGGATATTTGGTTAGCTACACTGAATGTTTAGATAGAAAGAGCACAGGAAATAGCTAAGCAAGGCAGTATACCAATTCAATATTCCCCTCTCCCACCCCAGGACCAAAACAAGCGGGTATACACTCTATTGCACCAAACACTACTCTATAAAAGAGGAGCCCTAGCTTATTCTAGTTATATATTTCATTGTTTTAAGAGAATATTCTGTCTTTATTTTTGTTTTTGGTGTGATGTGGTGGCAAATGCTACTGTGTGAGTGCAATAAGAGGTTGTCAAGACATCAACCTTAAAGAACATTCCTTAGAAAGTCTTTCAGTTAATTACTTTGCTTAGGGCTCTCTTTGCACTCTGTACTCTCTGCTCCCAAAATGGAGCCTTGCCTGGGTT